TTATGATTCTATGATTCTATGATTCTGTGTTCTGCAAGCTGGGGAAAGGGAGGGGATATTCCAGTTCATCATATACATCTTAGGCTACTTATGGTAAAAAAAGGCTGCAGAATTTAAATGCAGCACCCAGAATTTGCTCACTGCCTGTTTCTAATCTCTCCTGCAAAGGCAGCACACGGGTAGGGATCTCAATCACAGTCTGATTCTGCTGAGAATACAGTAAAACACAGACAGCGTGGGTGCAAAATTTCCCATTAGTGCCGAGGAGCGTTGCTGAGGCCAGTCTGTGAGAGAGGTGAGGCTGGAGGTCTTCTGCTCCCCTCCAGGGACCGCGGCTGTCGACAGAAGTAACAAACTGAATAAAGCAGAAATGACAACCCACAGTCCTTCCTGGTGAAATGAAAATTTCAATAACCTGTGTCGCGAATGGCAATAATAAGCAGTCTTTTCTGTTTCAAACCGTTAGAAGCAAACGTGCCAGGGGTAGAAATAAGTCTTTAGAGCGATTGCTTAGATTAAAGAGGCTTGTGCCGAGCCAGGGTAAGGGAGGTGTACTTTCCTCTCAAGCCAAGGAAGCAGAAAGGCAAACAGTGGTATGACTGTTTCCAGGCAAATCGGGCTGTTTTAATCACCTTCCTTCTCCCTTTCAGTGTGCCCACGCGAGCGCCTGCGTGCACATCAGCGTGCGCACCACTGCGCTTGACCCCGAGTCAGCAAGTGGGAGAGCGTGCACCCTCCACGTGACCAAAGAGCATATCACAGCATCAAACGTGGAGGGGAAAAAAAGGAAAGAAAGAGAGGGAGGCCCGAAACCCCCAATCTGACATGCTCAGCAAGTTGCTGCTGTTTGGCATCTTAGTGTCGCCACCAGAACTAGGAAAGCAGCTTTCTCTTGCAGTGGGTTTATTGAGAAGATTATTAAAACCTTTTCATTTAAAAATATTTGGCAAGGACTTCTGCATAAGTCGGGAGGACTTTTTTGCCTGCATCTGCTTCCAACAGAGAAAAGAGGGTTTAAGGGGGGAAAAAAATAAGCAAAACCCCACCAACTCTCTTGATGGCTGCCAAAAAGGGTCTTGAAAGAGCTTGCCTTGTGAGTGAGAGGAACACCAAGAAGTACTCCTTGGCCCTAGACAGGTAACACAACTCTCTGCTTCCTTCACTGCCATTACTTTGTCTTTGCAAGCAATACGAGATCACTGATCTGCTGATGGGCTGCTGAAGTCAAAATACAGGGAGTTTCACAGTGCGTACAGGAAACATCTTTCACCACTTTCAAAATGGTTTGTTTGATTTTTTCCTTCCCAAACTTTCTTATTAAATGTTTGATGCATTTACTAGACAGCAGCCTGATGTGTCTGCATCTGTGATGGATTGAACCAATCTACTGTTGAAGCAAGTGTCTCCTGCTATGTATTTTATAAGCTCAGTAGATTTATTGTAGGATGCAAAACCTCATAGATTATGCTGCAATTTTAAGCTGAATTATAATAGTGCTATTGACACCATTCAAGGATCCTTCATGCTTGAATGTCTAAATAATCTATTTGGTGTGAAAGAAATGCAATGCTATTAAGGACTTGATCCTGCAAAACTTTATTCATGTGGATAGTCTATCACACTTGGAGCTGATGTACCTCCTGTGTGCCAGAGGTCTTGTGAGTAAATGCTTGCTTGAGTGAGGAAAGACCCTCTGAAAACATGATATGCTGTAGCTTGGGTTAAAAAAAAGACTAGAAATGTCTATCGCAAAATAGTTTTGCAGTTGAACTTATTTTCATTCTTCCTCTTGACTCAGACCAGCAAGTATTTTTAAAAGAAAATAGCTGCTCAGTTACAGCTTAGCACCTCTTGACATTTCCATTATCTCATTGGTTTTCAGGTTATTTATTGCTTGGCTCTCTTAAAACGCGTGGGACAGAAACTTGGCATGAACACTGTCAGTTCAAATGGAAATCTGTGTCTCCGTGTTCTTATACTGGGGTCACTGCCATCGTATTTTAGTCATTTGAGTGTCTGGGTTATTATTTAAATATTATTACATGGCTCCATAAATATACATGGCACTGTCCAAAATGACTTTTGTGGTAATATTTATAATCTATAAAGATCCCACATGATTCTGCAATTCATTTTAGCTACTGAAGACTCTCAGAGCTTTTTTGATAGTTTGCAGTTTTGTGGGCACAACTTCAGTGGTTGAGGTCCTCCGGCCCCTAGCCACCTTTGGGCACAAGGACATCTCCAGACTAAGCCTTTACCCAGTGCAGGAAGGCGTGCCCTGAGACAGGGAGGAAGCCCTCTTTTTCGTTGGATCACCAGGAACAGGGAATATCCCCAGTGAGGAGGAGGATGCACTTTGGGGGCAGTAACCCCCAGTAGCTCATCCTCCCATCAAGGAGCTGACTCACGTTCTGGAGGAGTTGATTTCTTTCTGATAATTATTTCTTAATTTAGGATTGAAGTTAGTTGGGGTGAATTGCTGGAACAATTGCAATTGTTAGGCTGATTGCTGCGGATATGCCCAACAGCCCCAGAGCTAGAGGGCCAGTCCCAGGAGGGCTCCATAGCAGAGGCCCTGGGATGGCAGAGTTACTCCCGTGGTAACACAGCTCCCCAGGAGGAGGAGGGCTTGTCATCCAGGTGTGTGGCTTTTGTGCTGTACCTCCTCTTAGCTTTTCTTCTCAGATGAAGCTTGATTAACTACGCAACCTAGTTACTGCATTCTAGCAATAACCAGAAATGGGGGCTGAGAGCTGGGGTCTCCCTCCCGTTCAGAAGAGCTGGCAGCTCAAGGGAAGCCCTCACCCTGCTGCCCCTCTCAGCCCAGTGACCCGGGGTGCCAGCCCGGGGACTGGAGCCAGCATGGGGGTGGAGATGCAGCCTGCTGGGCTCGGGCTTGCACAGACCGGCTGTGTGCACAGCTTCAGGTGTCCTAAGCCGATCAGTGGCAATAAGCTTGTCTTAGCCTTCGGTATAAATTACCACATTTTTCTGTTCCCTGTGTGTAGGCTTAATGCACAGCTCTAATGTTTTCAACAGAATTTATTTTGCACACGGATTGCCTATTTCTTTGCCATCCCCCAGCCTCTTTCTTTTTAATAAATGCCATTATTACAATACACAGAGAACAAAACTGTTTTTATCTTAACCATGTGAGTAGGAACTCTGAATACAGACCCTGTTCCCTGCACAAGGCTGTGGGGGAGAGGGTTTTGTACATGTCAAGCCAGTCAGTAGTCACTAGCGGGTTTGGATGCATTGAGTTCTCCTATGCCAAACCTGAAATGCTTACAAGGGGGTGGGCTTTAACTGAGCTTTCTGAAAATCAGGGCAGCTGCAGGCTTGTAGGATAATTCAGGTTGGAAGGGACTTCAAGAGGTCTCTGATCCAACCTCCTGTTGAAAGTGGGGTCAGCCAAGAGATCAAACAGGGTTGCTCAGGGCTTTATCTGGTCTAGTCTTGCAAAAAATCTCTCAGGATGGAGACTGCATGGATGGAGACCTGTCTGGAAAATCTGTTCCAATACTGAATTATCTTATAGGAACCTTCCAGTACCTAAAGGGGCCTACAGGAAAGCTGGAGAGGGACTGTTTAAAAAGACACGGAGTGACAGTACAAGGGGTAATGGGTTTAAGCTGAAGGAGGGTCGATTTACGTTAGATATTAGGAAGAAGTTCTTCCCTGTGAGGGTGGTGAGGCACTGGAACAAGTTGCCCAGAGAGGTTGTGGAGGCCCCATCCCTGGAAGTGTTTAAGACCAGGTTGGATGGGGCTTTGGGCAATGTGGTCTAGTGGAGGGTGTCCCTGCCCATGGCGGGGGGGTTGGAACTAGATGATCTTTAAGGTCCCTTCCAACCCAAACCATTCTATGATTCAATGATTCTATCCTCACAGTCAAAATTTTTCCTTGTATTCAGTCTGAAACTCTCTTGTTTCGATCTATGACCATTGTCCTCATCCTTCCTCCATGCACAACAATAAAGCCCCATCTTCTCAATAACCTCCTCAAAAATATTGGCAGGTTGCTGTTAGGTGCCTCTGAAGCCAACTCTTCTCTAGGCTGAACAAGTCCAGTTCCCTCAAGGCAAGTGCTCCAGGCCTCAACCATCCTGGTGGCCCTCTGCTGCACCTGTGCCAGTTTATTGATCTCTCCTGTGCTGGGGACTCCAAAACTAGACACTATATTCTAGATATGGTCTCAGAAGTCTGTCCTAGATGCAGGACTTTGCATTCATCCTTGTTGAATTTCATAATGCTCCTGTTGGCCCCTTCCTCCAGCCTGCCTATGGCAGCCTTGCCCTCCAATGTATCAGCTGCACCCTTGGCTTGGCATCATCTGCCAACTCGATCAGGGTACACTCCACCTCCTCCTCCAGGTAATGGAGAAAGATATTACATAGTACTGGTCTCAGGACAGGGCATCACTTCTCACCAGCCTCCAGGAAGCATATGAACTGTAATCGTAACAGAGTCTGAAGCTGAGCACTCAGAACCTTCTGACTTATGCAAAAATGTTGTCTGTAAGGCATATCAAGTGAGATTCATATAGTCTCTCTTTAATTTAGGTTTGAATTAGGTGTCTAAGATAGTTTTCTATGGTCTTTGGTGGTGGTGGAAGAACATAAATTCTTCAGATGATTAATCATTTGTTATGTTATTTTTTTCTTTGTTAATACCTACCTAGTGATCTAGAAAACCGAAAGACTAGGGAATGTCTTGACCGAATTCCTGAAGTTTCCATGAATGAAGACAGGCCAGATAATTTTCTTACTGACAATAGATCAGTGTAATATTGACCAGAAATATTCAGTATCTCACTTCATAAATCAGTGGATTTGAGGATTGTACCAATGACATTGTGAACTAAATTTTGCCTTGATCCAGCATGATTTCTGGACTTCTGATCATGTTCTTTATATGTCATTATAGTGTGATTTTGAATACCATCACACAAGTGAAACTCAAGGCTTCTAGTCTCCAGGTTTTTGTTTTTATTTTGTCTCTGAGACTAGAGACAAGGAAATAAAAAGGAGAAATGTTGAAAGCAGGAAGGACATGTAAAAACCTTAGGGCTTGTCTTCATGTAAAAGCATTTAACACAGGGCATTAATGTGACCTGTAGTTATCTATCAGTGCAGCTTTAGGCTTGCAATTGATTCCTGTCTGCTGGGCTCATACCAGTAGGCAAAAAGTTTGAAGTGAGCCTGGGAGATGATTTCTTCAGGTGGAGATTGATTTTCCGTAACAAGCATGTAGGGAATATTTTCTTCTTTTTCTGGCTTCCTGCAGGCAGTATGAAAACTCGTATGGGATCAAAGAGTCCTCATCAAATAAAGGCTTTTCATCATTCCCTGTGCTTTGCAGAAGACAATGCTCAGGAAAATTTTGGGTGTTTCTTGTGACTTCTGAAGAGTTTTAGATGTGGGCCCTGTGGTTATGTCTCCTTTGTACTGGATTGCCAGCTGGCCCCAGGAGCACCCAGTATCTTAGGGTGCTTACCCTAAGTAAAACCCATCCTGTTGCTTTTGCCCTTGTGTTGGGTGACATAAGGACCCTGTAGAAAAGACTGTGTCCGCCCAGTACTGGCCATATGCCATCTCCTTTATGCCCGCTTCAGTTATGGCCACTTCATCTTGGAAAGAAAATTATAACCAAGATAGTAAGAGGTATGAAAGAGAAATTAAATAACTAGGACACCATCTCAGGAAACTGATGGTTCAAGGGTATAGCAATGATAGAGAAAATCATGAATGATGTGATGAAGGTAAACAGGGAATGCTCATTCATTATTTCTAACAGTACAAGAACTAATTACAATATCCGGCAGACAGCTTAAGAGTTACAAAGGATGCATTATTTTTACACAAATCATAATTACACTGTGGAACTCAATGCTTTCAAGTCAGCCAGGTTTGTGGAAGAGAGATCTGTAAAAGGCTATTAGACACAAGCTCTGATTCAACTGCCTCCTAGCTTCCAGATTTGTGCAACTGGGGAGCAGTACCTCTCTGGACATGTTCCTTTTTTGTACTTTGTCCTTATGTATCCCCTCATGCTCAAAACAGGGTTTAGATATTTGGCTACAGGCACCTTTGGTCTAAGTCAGTATAGCTATTGTTATATTGTTATGCAGAAGCAAATTTATTGACAATATATTTATGCATACATGGTCAGGCCCTCAAAATGAGACTAAATAAAATAACCATCAGACCAATTCCCATCTAGTAAACATCTAAACATATGCAAATATATAAATATTTACCTTTGTTTTGTGCCCACAATACTGTGAAAGGAAAAGGAGAATCTGGACAGTCAGGCTATAAACAGGATCTTAAATGACTTGGAAATATTCAGGATTGGTACATCAGTTGAAACTGGAGTGGTGCCAGCATAAGGGAGGTGACTATGGCTTTGATAAATTTTTCTCGGAAGGCAGTTTTATTATTCTTTCAGGCACCAAAAAATTACTGTTTTCCCTTGTGAAGGAGATGCTCTCCTGTGGGAAGTGCAGTGATTTCACATTTTGCTCTTTTGACTGGGAATCTCCTAATGGTCTAGGAGGATGGCAATTATTCCCGTCAGCCTGCAGATCAGGGCACCTGGTGGATCAAGTGAAAACAAACAAAAGGAAGCTGTAATCAAAAGCTCTTGCTGATGATTTATATGGAATCTGCAATATATATTAATATTTTCTCCTTCCCCCCTTCCAGGCATGACTCAATAGGAGCCTTTCAGTGACGTTCCCCTGACTATCCTTTTTACAAAGGAAAGAGAATTTGAAATGGAGAAAAGATTATTTTTTAATCTGGGACTCTGCTTGCAGTGTGCTGGTGCAGAGATCTGATGCTCCAAGGCTACATCTTGCTCTAACACACTCAGAAGGGGTTTATGGTTTGACAGAGCTGATCTTTACACCTTAAGCTTTTGATTCACACATTTATAAAACTGTCTTTTCGATTCTTTTAATTAGTGGCAGGCTGCTCTTGGAAGAAAAAAATAATGGTTACGCACAGGAGCTGGCAGGAGTCTTCCAAACTCATCGGGCCAGATGCTGCTCTGCGAGTTCAAAGGGAGCAGCGAATGCTCACCACCTCTGACAACCGGGCCACTTTTATTTAGATATTCTTTAGACAAAAATGTGACATTTGTGGGTTTACGCTGTCTCTGTTTGCTTTTGCATCTCTTCAACAAGGTCTGTGGACAGTGCTTTCCTATCCCTCAGTGGTACTCTGAAGTTTTGTTAGCTGATGGAGAGACTTGAAGATTAAAAAGGGAGGGGGAATCACAAAGCGACCTGTTTTGTTAACAGCAAGGAAAGGATTTGGTGGCTCAGAAATCTGCAGGGGTAATTTTAGCATCCCTGCCCTGACAGGGATGCTAAAATTGATCATGAATTGATCATGAATTGATCATGACTCATGTTGTTAAGATGCTTTTGACATTCAGTGTCAGCTGATGAAAATGGAGTTAGAGGGAAATTAATTTTACATGCAAACTATAGAAAAACATTGGAAGTTAAGTGCAGAGAGGGATCACGAGAAAGAAAAACTTGCATGCCCTGATCTCCAGGGGAGAGCGAGAGAACTACAGTATTTTATTCAGCCATCTGGAAGGAATCAATTTGTGGTACCTTCTGAGTCTAATTCATCAGGAAAATATTGTACATAAGTGACACAGTGCACATGAGGAGCCTGATGAATGTAAAACTAAAGGCCTGGAGAAGGACTGGCTAGCGGGGACTCTGGCTGCCAGATGGGCAGCCCATTCCCCAGATGGCCCAGCTCCCATTTATTTGTTGTTGTGGGGAAAATAAAGGAAAACACTGACAAAAGGACTAAGAAAACTCACTGTCTCCAGGCATCAGGCATTAAATCTGACCAGTTGCTCTTTCACACAAGGTCCTCATGTACAGGGGGAACCAGTCGCCTCTGTTCAACAAACAGAGACCACGTGCTAACCTGGCTGGGAAACAAGCTGACTCAGGGGAACGTGTTGCATCCTTGGAACATCTCAATAATATTTGCAAAAACAAATCCACGCTGATTATCTACAGTCACAGGGCTTGGCTGCAAGGTCGGTCAGCTCTCCTCCTTTCGCCAGTCCCTCTGCAGTCCTGATGAACACAACAAGGGGCCAAGACATCCGCAGCTCTGCAACTGCCTTTGCCTCTCACCCATCGGTGGGGTGCGGGCTGTGTGGCACCTGGCAGGACTTTGGACCCACTGAGCAGCTGCAGCCCCCACAGGCTGCCCAAAAAGGTGGCTGGGAAAGGCTTGTGATTTCGGTGCAATTTTTTTCTTGACATTGACAGCAGATTGTCAGCCACTGGCATGATTTCTTTCCAGCAAGATCTTAGGCATCTTGACACTTCCATAAACAGTGCAGAAACACTACAGAAAGTCACCAAGATCCATGTACTTCCCCAAGCACAGGTCTCCTTCCTGCAACTGCAGAAACAACTCTTCCTGGTCCCAAAGGAAAATCCTTAGTTAGAATGGGGAAAAGAGTCTGTTTTTACTGGGTGCAGCTAAGCCCAGCCCCACATCATACCTCCAGGCTAATTTCAGATTTGGAAACAATGGAGTTTGCTGTGTGCCCAAGTCGGCTTGTGGGCTATGGCCCTGCACACACAGACCTCAAATAGCTGCAACATGTGGTTGTACGGATGTTACTTATGTGTATCTGGGCAGAATTTGCCTTTTGATGCCACAGTGTGCTCCCAGAAGCCTCAGTACATGGCAGAGGATGTTCTACCAATGGGGAGCATTAGGAGCAGCTGTGGCAATAAATGTTGTATCTGGAGAAACATAATGGTTTTCAGCTAAACCTCCTGGAACAGGGTTTAGGGTTTGGCTTTTTTTGTCATTTGGGCTCTTCTCAGTTGAGAGATAAGGAGAATGGAACATCCTTGCTTACCAAACCACCTTGGGGCCTCCCTGAGGGGAGTTTCTGGGCTGCTTTAGTGAAAGCACCAGATGTCATGGTCATCCAGGAGCTCCCGCAGTTGCAATGCAATGTGCTCGGCCCCGGATCTCTGTACCCCCATCCCATATTTCCTATGCAGAGCCCTGAGAAGGACAGAACTGAGGGTTTGTGGAGGAGCAGATTTGGCTGGGACATCACCTTGTGATGGAGCAATGCTGAAAGAGCCACTTCTGCTGAACTTCTCGCCTTTTAACAAAATCAGTGGCAGGCACAAAGGAGTCAGCATACTATGGAGAATTGATTTCTTTGATTTTTTTAAGCGCCTTTGAAACCATTGGGCTAATATTTTCTATGCTCAGGCCCTTCTGGAAGATTTATAGTTTTTGTACATATGTGGAAATTTGAGAAAAAGTAGTTCAGGCGAAGAGAGAAGTATCTTTAGTCAATTATATTTGAGAAAAAGAAGACTATTTTTTTTTTAACAGTCTTTCTGACAAAGCTGTTGGGAATAGAAAACTGAAATTTTCCATAGAATTGTCTCTATGCTATGCTGAATTTGGTTACTATTTGCATGAGGTACAAGTTTTTGAATATCATAAGGTGTGCATAAAATACACAGCCTAAGAAAGTCACCCTGTGCTTCATAAACTGCTAAATGATGTAGGAGAGCCCAAAGAGCTGGGGAACACAGCCAGAGCAGTCATTTCATGTGCAATTCCCTCCCGCAGAGCCCTGCTTGTGCGAGCAAGCCTCCTCTATGACCTGCTCCACTGTTCCCAACGCTGCTTTTATCCTTCAAAAGCATTAATTACATAGTTTCTGGGGCTGCAGGGCTAGATGCCCAAATACCCAGGGTTTTTCTTTTTTAACCTTCTGTTTCTTTCAATCCCAAAGGATGAGCTGGCATCAGAAGAATTTAAATGAAGAGAGGCAGCAGCAGGACGCAGAAGTTACTGAAGCTAATCCAGCGTATCACTGTCACGGCTACTCACAGGCCTATGAGAACAGAAAAAGGGAGCAGCATCAAGCCAGGAGGAAGCTCTGTGTAGCATCAGTAATTTGCATCTTCTTCATGATTGCTGAGATTACAGGGGAGTATGTTTGCTCAAAGAGAGCTCAGTTTGGTGCCCAGCACAGCCGTATTCATGCCCTTTTGTGCACACTCTGACTGCAGGGATCTGTGATGCATAGAGGTCAACTCACCTGGGATAAAATAACTCTCCTTTCTCCTCAGTCTTTAAAAGAATTGTGGTGGTTTTTAAAGTCAAATTATCAAAATATTTTCATATATTCATTTAAGGATTACATCTGGGTAGGAATACAAGGATCAGTTAATGGTCTAAACTGTTCTCCCAGTCTTTAAGCTCGGCTAAAAGTGGCTAGACTGTCTTAGCATCATGTCACAGAAGGTTTCTAATGAATTGAGTTACTTTTTTTTTTAAAAGATTAAAAGATTTTACATGTTTATCAAGGCCAATGAGACCTCAGAACTGATGAAGGCTGCTAGCAGCAGGATCTGATATTAAATGCAACAGTCTTTACAAAATCCAGGGAAATCCAGGGCCAGATTCACCATCTGCTTTTCTTCAGTTAAGTCAATGTATTTATACCAGGACACGTTTATCTTTTAAATTGGCCTGCTGGTGTGTCTCTGGATCAATGAAAGATTAATCCCCTGTCTAATTAGCCTTCACTCCTGGACCCATCCTACAATATCCAATATAAGTTTTTGGCTCGCTTGTAGAGCATTAGCTTTCGTTTTGTCCCACTGATCTGCTCTCTGCATGGCTTCTGTGATATTTATACCCACCTGATAATTCCTGGGTCTTTATGTTCCCCTTCTCCACGGCAAGGTGAGCTAAGGTACGGCATGAGGAACCCGCAGGCTTTTGCCACGTGTGCCCCAGAGGATGTAACAAAAATCAGCCAGGAAGGCCTCTGAAACCCATGTTTTCCCTGCTTCAGCATCTCTGAAGCCCCATGAAAATGAAAATGACTTTGCCTTCCCCACAGGTGAGAAGTGGAGGCACTGAAAGAGCCACTGCGTTTCTGCTTTATTCCCTGGCTGCCAAACCCAGCAGGGACTTCTCCAACTCTTCCCTCCCACGTGCTTCATCTGCATGAAGCCCCGTTGTTTGTAGGTCACATGCATTTCCCCTCTGAAAACCAATGCATACCACTAATCTCCATACAGTAATTTCCATTGCCAGAAGTAATGCATTATTAACAAAACCATATAATCAGTAGGCTTAAATTTGGTGAATGCAGCAATGCTAGAGGATAATTGGAAGGACAGATGATATGTTAACTAAATGTTTCATTTTGCTTAATTAATCATACAGCTTTTTTGCAGTGACAGCTTAAGTAACAGGCTTGAAGACCATTTTGCTTCAGACCATTAAACTTTGACAAACCAGTTATTAACTGCAGTTACAGACAGCAGTCTATGGAGATTTTTTGTAATTATGAACCATGCATTTAATTTTTTTAATCATTAGGCTAGACAGCCTGTGCCTGATGATTGACCATTGAGTGACTGACAATTTCTGCTGCTTTGTGGTATACAAAGCTACAAACATCCATTGCGGGTAATAGTAAGTCATAAAGGCCACTTGTTGGGAGTATTGGTACAAAGCAATAAAAGCCTACAATTATTACACAGGCTTTACTCTTGAAAATAAAGAACATGTTCCCCTTCCTTCTCCTCTTAAGGGCAAACAGCTTCCGTGGGCACTATTGTGCTAAACTGAAGAAACAAAGCCACATCACTCTCAAAGAGGTTGAAAAGTTGTGTTTCTTTGAATCCCTAGATCTTTCCCCTGATATTTTTGCTCAAACCATCTGTGCTGGCCCTTGCTGCTCTCCCAAAAGGGGCACTGTTGGCGGAGCCTGATGCACCAACCTGTCTCTGAAAGACTGTTCTTCTAATGCAGATCCATCACTATCTCCACAGATTTGGAGATACAGTGGCTAAGGACCAAATGTGGATTTTAAAGTACTTTGTTTCCATTTGGGCGCTAGAAAGAGAGACAAACCACACATGTCCTCATGTCAAAAAGTAATATAAAGACTTGACCAAGTTGCTAAGATAAGCAGACTGAGATCTCAGAAATTCACCCAAGGCATTAGTTATGCCAGCGATACATAAAATAATAATTTGCCAACATTTTTCAAAGACGGCAGGCTAGAAGCAGGCTGTTGTAATGCTGTCCCACACAACATGGAAATACAGTATCTAAAATACAATAGGGTTTTGCAGGCAGCTTGTGCTCTACATATTTGTTTGCTGAAAGATAGCTGATGCCTTGGTTGTTAACATCTGTGCACTGTCAGACAAGCCTGCTTCCCTCTGCTATGCAAAATTGCTTCCCACTTGGGAAACGGCTACCCTGCAAACAGTGAAAGTCTAGGAGCTGTGTCATGACCAAAAAGTATATGTGCATTTACACCTGCTCCTGTTCTGGGAAATCCCCATTCTGCTGAATTTTTCATTTTACTGCAGGGAATGAGATGCCCCCAAATTCTACAGTCATGCTTGCTCCCTTTTGGGAAGTAACTTTCAGGCAGCTGTAAATGGGATGTATAGGGCAACAGAGAAAAACAATATATGCCCTATACGTGCAATGTACGTTCTCCTGCAGTGACAAACCATAGAGTATTAGATATTCAAATCTAAAATCTGCATACGGGAGGAAATTAAATAGACAGTCCATCCTGCTGGCATGAAGACTTCCCATCTATAAGGAAACAAGAGATATGTCTACAAGTCCCTTTGGCAACGGTATCTTGCCAAAGGTTTGAATGAGACATTTTATGATATTTTTCAGGTTTCATTGATTCTCATACGGGTTGTGGTCAGGAGAAACAGGTGAGCTGAAATGAATTAAATGACTGAAGAAGGATGGAAATATATTGCCAAACACAGAAACTAGATGTTTTGGCTCTAATATTTCACATTTTCATTTTTCTATATTTTCACTCTGATGAAAAGATTCCCTTGCTATAACATGTTGGCAGGACAGCTTCCTGCCTGTGTTCCTTGTCTTCTCTTGCAGCCACCTGCAGCTGGGGTAGTTTAGAGCAATCTTTTAGTTTCTTTGGATTTGCCTTTAGCCCTGAGACATGGTTAGAATTTGGCAAAATAATATTTGGCTTACTGGGTAAAAGAGATGTGGTTTCAGATAGCCTAACCCCCCATTTTCAGCCACATTTTTCCAGCTCTAGCAGGAAAATAAAATCATTCATTAAGGATGCAAAATGATAGATTAGTCCTGCAAACAGAACACTTTTCTCTATGGTCGGTTGTTCATCACAACTCTCATACTGGGACCTTTCTTTTTACTCCTGTTTTAGTTTTGCCTGTGACAAATAAACAGTCAGGCATCCAGCCATCCCAAACTCAGGAAGAACATGCATATTTTCCTCCAGCAAATAGGAAATTAATCCCGTAAGCTAAGTGCCTGAGTTTTTGTGCATACATAAAAATATCAGTTTTCTATGAAGAGATAGTGGGAGGATACTGGAAATGTGATCCCTAATATTGCTTTTCACCAAGAAATCTGATACTAAAATAGTCATAGTAAAACAGTCCAATAGTAATAAAAGCACAGCACTAATGTATCACAACTCTTAGTGTCCTTAGGACTCTCTCTCTCTCTCTCGGGCAAAGAAAATTACTTTATTTCTTTCTATTACTTACTTTCACTGCATGAATGAGGTACAAATGAAACTATCTTTGAAGAGTTTTGAGTCATGTCTGTGATCACTGAAAACTTAATGTTCCCTTTGATTCACAGCAAAGCAGGTCTCGAGTTTGACCTGGTCCACTCAAACTTCTGACCAGAGCCATGATACAGACGTGTGTTTCACACAGGTGGGCAGATCGCCGGGAGCCTGGCAGTGATCACCGATGCAGCTCACATCCTGGTGGACCTGACAAGCTTCCTGATCAGCCTCTTCTCTCTGTGGCTTGCCTCCAAACCTCCCACCAAGCAGTTAACTTTCGGGTGGCATCGAGCAGGTAGAAAACGTGTCACAGTATGAACACGTGGAATGGGAAAGGGAAGTCATCATAGCTGGGGTGCTGATGTCCAACATAGGTCTGCAGATAGATATTTAGAGATAGTGCACTAACGGTCTCAAAGACCCCAGGACACATGACAAACAGCAAGCCAGTGAGTTTCAAAGAAGTACAGTCATCTCTTATACACAAATGTGTCTTTCAGTTCATTATTAAATGTAGTTTTGGGCTGGTGATAGCTTTGGTTGAGATAACAGCAACTTCCCTCACTGACCTGAGTGTGAGGAAGACCAAGTCCTCAACCTACTGTGAAATACAAGCTTCTATAAAAGCAGCAACACCCATAAAAATGAGGGTCTACTCCATCTATAGAATGATAAACCAAATCATTAAGTTATTTTAAAAAGACAACAATGTTATATTTGTAGAAAAGTGAGATCCTTCAACATTTACCATTTTCTAAATCCTCTCCCTGCATATCTCTTTATCACTGCTGGTTTTTATTAGATGGAAGTGCTGGTAGGCTTCGAAAGTTCTCTGTCCTCAACCAAAATCAATATATTTACAGATGACACCTAGTACCAAAAGCCTTACAATCAAACACAAGTGCCTTTACAAAAGACAAGACATCAGCAAAATATTAACTACAAGAAACGTTTTTGGGGGTATGATTCTCTTCAAGATTTAGACACTCAAATATCAATGTCTACACATAAGTGAGCATGGGAATACACATGGGAATGGCAGCTATGGCACAAGACCCACAGGAGACTACGCAGGATGCCAAGCACAAGACCAGGGCATCTCAAATCCCACCAGATGCTCATAGTTAAGAAACCGGGATGTGTTCCCAGTCAGTCAATGGAGCAGGGAGCAGTGTGAATCACCATTGATTTGATGTCCATTGTCCACAGTGGGAGCTTAGACACCTATGTCACACCTACGTGTAGACATTTTAATGTAGTTGCTGGAAGTTAATCGCATGCTGGGTTCTTAGGGCTCAGTTTAGTTGCTCATATGTAAGGGATTGGTGCTATTTGAAATGTCTTAATCTGTTCCACAAAGTCGCCAGCTGCCACTCTAGAAGGCTATGGGTTATTTATACATCTTGTGTCAAGTCTTACGTGGAGGTGTCAGTGTATCTCAAAAGGCTCTAGACACCTATGCACCTGAACTCAGATGATGAATGCTTCAAGGATGTTCAATATGAAGGTCCAGAAGCAGCTTCTGACTCAGGATGTCTGCAGGCCAAGGTTGCCTGTAGCTAAGAATGTACCAGAGAAGACATACGCCCTATTCATCCTGTCTTTATATTGCTCCCTAAGTATATTCTACCAGCTCTGCTGGAAACAGGCTGCTGGATGAGAGGTAGGTTTAGTATGACAGAGGCATGGCTGGCATTATGCTGCCCACACACAGGGGAATTTTGCAGCATTAGAAAACTACTACTTAGCATCAGTTGATCCATAATTACTTTTTGTGTTTATGCTTTCTTATCCTGGGAATAAAGGAAAGTGAAAGAGATACTTCTCTGTTGCTGATGAGATGGTAGTGGCTGATGGTTCAGCCACCTCATGTAAGTTCACCCTCAGTCTGTGTTAGGTTTTTTAGGTTTTTGTCACCGCAATGCAAGAACTTCAAAACCAATCTTTTATTACCTTTTTATCCTGGTGGCAAACAGAGCCCTGCGTCAAATGTCAGTGGCTATTTAATTTCATTCCATGATAGTTATCCTGTTTCTTGCTTATTTTCCCAGCTATATTTCCAGTGTAATATGCACGTGGATGCCTAAATAGAGTAGCTGAGGGCAGTCAGGTGGGTGGCAGAGTCATTGTGTGCTGACTACTAAAGTCTTGCAGCTGCAGCCCTCCATGGCACTGGAAGCTGTTTTTTCACTCCTTTCCTCAGACTGATAGATAGGGTTTGTCATGCAAAGACTGTATAGGACAGGACTCGGGTTTAGCAGGAACCATCTGAATGCCTCCTGTCTTCTAAGCCAGAACCAGGCAGCAGAATCAGTCAAGACAGCAGTTCAACATGATCCTTTGGTGTGCAACTACCTTCAGCAACATGGCTAGAATCATAATATTGAAGGACATTGATAGTATAAGCCAGACCTACTTCCAGGTAGGAGAGGTTTCTTCAACCTTAATTTCTTTATCTCTGGTATGATTCAGAGTTCCCAAACAATCCTATACTATTGCTTGCTGTGCTCTGTTATTGCTAGTAGTTCTGAAGAAATGTAACTGAGAACATCTCGAGTAAAACATTTAGAACTGTTGAACTGGTCTGTAAGCTTAGCTAAACTTTGGTAAGATACTACACTGAGAAGTAACAATTATTTTTCACCTACGTAGGTAAAGACCTGTAGCGTTTTCAGTTGTGGAGTATATACACACACGCACACAAATATTCATGCAAGTGTTCACAAAAGCTGTTGGCTCCTTTCACAGCAATGATAGCATAGCCATCAACACCTTCAGATGGGGCAGGTTTGCAGGGTTTCAACCTGTAACTTGCAGAAAATGTAAACACCAGGTTTATCAGAAAATATAAACACCATGCTTTATGTTAGCTTCTCTCTATCTTCTTTTAAGCAAAACTAGATTTCCCTTTTTTTCCCTTTTGTTTTTAACAACTTTCATTTGTTATTTGTCAGTTTTAGACAAAATGGTTATTTTGATAAGCTTCTGGAGCCTGGACTGCTGCAAACTGTACAACCCTCATAAAAATATATTCACAATCATAAGCTGAGTTTCTTCTGCTTTCATGAACTGACAGTGGAGGTCTGTGCAAGTGCTTTGCTCTTTCTGGCTATCTACTGCCCCTCACTTCACTTTACTGTGAACTTTCATTTTCTTTGGTATTGTCTCAGTTGTGCTCATAAAGTGCCACATTTACCTGCTCAAGTCACATGGCAATTACTAGTCCCACATCCTATTAAAAACATGCTGCACGTTCATACAAACGCTCTTGGACCTCGCATATGGCAGTGCAATAAAAAGTGGCCTTGGGGACCGGATTTATTTGAGGCCAACTCAGAGCCAATAGAGACAAAATTAAATTTTGTTGCCCCAGGGAAAAAAAATAACTTATTTTGTCCTCATCACCACTGGTGTCACAAAAATGATTTTGTGGCATTGGCAGGATGAGTCCCAGGAGAGAGGAAGGAGAGGTTTTGCTGGCAGGACATTGTCGGGGGCTGTCAAAGTGTGAAGTGATGAGGGGTGTGCAGAAACAAGAGAGGCTATTGGAGGGGCATTATGTCTGCCAGTGGGCCCGGGTGAGCCGTGCCTATCTCCTTCCCTCCAACCTCTGCTCCCATGACTAAGATAATCTTGTTGGGGAAGGAGGGCTGGTTCCTGGGACCTTAAAACCATACTGGCAGGGCCAGGTGACTGTGTAAGTTGTAAAAGAACTGTTCTTTTATCCCTTCTTACCTTTACAACTTCTTTTGCTCCTCCCAAAACTCCCAAAATGATCTTTTTTCATCTCTCCAGTTTCTCCAGATGCCACACTGGAATGGGCACAAAAGTAGGAGCAGGTGAAAGAGCGTTAGGCCACCACATGCATAGTGCTGCCCTGGGCAGCCACTGGATTTGCTATGACCAGGAAGGGGCTGGGCCCATTCTTTGTGAGCATCAAGGCTGCCAATATACAAGTAACTCTCCTGGCTATCAAGGTCACAAACCTGGAACCATTACCATCAATCCCTTAAAATTTCTTGTGTTTCTGTTATGACTCCTGTTAAAATCAGATTTTTTAAATTTCTAGAAATTCTGGGAGCTTTGATGTCTATGATAATCGTTTGGATGGCGACTGGTGTGTTAACATATTTGGCTAGCATGAGGCTGCTACACCCTAATTATGACATTGATGCTACAGTGATGCTCATTACCTCTGCTTGTGCTGTGCTCGCCAACATCCTGTAAGTTGCTTTGTTTTCCTCTCCATATAACTTTCGAACCTTGAACTTGCTGCTGTATTTCAATAAAAACCAATAGAGATATACTGACCTCAAAAAATATTAAGTGTTTATGAGTTTCATGAGAGTATGGAAAGGGACAGAGAAAAGAGATTCTGCTTCTCATTGAAGGCTGCAGTTGCTGTCCTCCTTTCTTTTAGCTGCCACTCTGGAAAGGGAAATTATAAATGCACAAACTCCAGGAGAAGATTAATCTCCGTCTCACTTTTTAGTAAATGTCAGAACATTCAAGAACGCCATAGAAAATGAGGCCTCATTAATTCCCCTGTTCAGAGACTTTCCTGTTTGTATGCAAAACACTGAAATCACCTAGGAATTATTTGCTTAGTCACTCTATATTTTTACCTAATGTGTCTGATTTTAGTGCTCAGCATTCAGAAATTAGAGGGGTGATGACGTGTGTGTCATCACCGCTTTCAGAGATGCAATAACCCCACTGATACTTGCAGCTTTCCATCTCTTGCAGTCTAAGCCTGATTCTGCACCAGACCAGCCACGGGCACAGCCATGGGGCACAAGCCAGGGAACACGTGTCAGCCCCTCCAGAAAAGCCAGCCCTGAGCAATGCCAGTCTGCGGGCAGCCTTTGTGCACGCTATCGGAGATCTATTCCAGAGTATTAGTGTGCTAATTAGTGCACTTATCATCTTCTTTAAGGTTAGTTTTATTAGTTCACTTGCCTTCTTTGCAATTAAGGATAACAGTTATTTTCATAGCATTGTGACACTAGGTACAATGTAAATATTTCCTTTGTCTTAATGATATACATTGCAATTTAGTCGAAGACAATTATACTTATTCTTGGGAATTGAAAGGACTGTTGAGAGTGTAACTGCAAGGAGGTGTTTCAGCTGCAAGGAGGATACTTCCATGTCTCTCTTTCTCCATCTGTAGTGCCTTCATTCCCTGTGCTGCGGCTCCCTAACTGGCGAAGGAGGTCAGCACTGATTCCGTACTAGATGAATGGAATATATTATTCTTTGAGATTAACTAATTAAAAATTACAATAACCAACAATAATAAAATTAACAAAGTGATGTGTTCATATTTTTCTAGCCAGAATACAAAATAGCTGACCCAATCTGCACATTTGTGTTTTCCATCTTTGTTTTGGCAACAACCATCACCATTTTAAGGGATATTTTGATTGTGTTAATGGAAGGTAGGACCTGATTCCAGAATCAATACAGTTGTATTTTGGTTATTTTCTCTCTTTTTCTCCATAACACTTATACTTGCTCACAAAAGTATAATAGTACACTTCTGTATCGGTTTCCAATATTCTCATAACTCTGATCATACTTTAATCCTAATTACAATTTTAATCACATCTGTTTTCAACTGCTGCACTGGAAGATTTATACATATGCCAGTTTTCATAAAAATCTGTGTATTGGTGTTTTGCTAATGAACTCCCAATGTATTCCTAAAACTGAGTTGCTTTTGTTTGTCGTATGCATAGCATTGCTTTTTATCACCCCTTTGGCATATGAGAAGCCTACTCGCTTTGTTCATTGTGTAATTCCTTTACCCATGTGAAATACAAGCCTCTGCCAAAAAAAGACCAAAGAAAAGAAAAAGACTGTGCTTCGAACTGTGTCTGTGAAATAGGCTGAGTGCAACAGGCACAAGTTTAAAAGATTTTTAGTTACGCCAGCCCAGAAAAGCAAGATGATGGAGCTTTCCAGTTGTGTTCAGGTGCAAGGGAATAGACAATTCTCACGCATCAGCAGCAAGAAGAGCTAGACTTAACAATATTTAATCCTGTTCAGCTATGGGCCTGAACATTTGATTTGCAAGGTCAAATGACTTGAGCAGTCATAGATGCATGTTTTTGCCTTCCTTACACTGAATAATATAATGCAATTTCTTTCTCAGCTATGAAGACATAGGGATTAAAGGGACAAGTAGTTCTAACAGTGTAGCGTTTGAATGGGTACAAGTTACTCAGTGTGACTGCATGGCTGTTCACTTCTCTCTTTCACTTTGCACCAACTTCTGTTTCAAGAAAGAAAATTTCCAATATTGTTTTACAGTAAAGCTTCATTCTAGGGTTGATTTGCTTTCAGTGATTGTGAGATAGAGATACATTTGTGTACAAGTGTACCTAGACAGAGTGCAGCAACTGACTGTATCTTGGCTGCCAAAAAATCAGAAGATTTGATTACTGAAAAAAACATCGAACCACCAGGTTCCCTGACACACAGGGTTCTCTTTCTCAGAGCAGTGATTCCCAGCTTCCTTAAGCTGTGCTGACATGCCAAAATTGCCAATGCTCTGCCCCCCTCTGCAGCAAGCCCTTTTGCACTGTCCTTCTGGGGAGGTCTCTGAAGCCGGTCTCCTACCCCCTAAGCAGCATATTCTGCCCAGAATTTTATAAAGAGAAATTGGATGTTGGAGCTGGTATTGGAGGTGGCTCTTACTCCATACATCCAGTCTGTCCCAGGGTGTCAGCCCCACAGCCCCTGAGACTGACTCTGTCATGGTTTTCTCCAAGGAGCATGTGTGTGCCAGCATCATATTCTACTAAGTCAGTACTCCATGGAGCATATCATTGTTGTAATAAGTGGATAGGACAAAGCATGCAACACTGAGATCATTAACAATTACAAATAATTATCAGTTATGGTATGAAAGACAAAATGAACCAATACTGTGCTTATCATTATTATACTTCATAACAGGTGGCATCAAAATTATTTTTCAGTTTACTGATCCAAGTAAAACATTGTGAGCATAGAGGTGCATTTCCAAACTCCCATGTCTCACTCCAGGGAAGATCTGTAGTTGAATTCCTTGGTCAAATTTGGATTTAGACTAAACTCTGAATTTCATGTTGCAACTCACCCTATCACAACTGTCCTCACTCTGAATGAGGGTCATCGACATCATTATCTTTTGTAGGGAGGAAAACAATCACTGATCTACTTGTTAACTAGACCTGGGATCTAATCTCACCCAAGATTCCTGAGTCAAACCATTTTAATCTTTATGTTTGTCTTACCCTCTTTGCTAAACAGGTCCTTCTCTATTGTGTAAATGTATTGAGGACAGAATTCCTCAGAGATGCTCTGATGATACCATAAAATCTGCACTCCAAAAGATGTTGGTGCAAAACTATGACGTGATCTGGCTAAACAGCTCGCTTCCCTATGTGAACTGGACCCTCAGACAGGCATGAGTCTCATTTTTCCATAGAGAAGTATAAAACAACGGATAGGATTAAATTTCACAGGGAACTCTGAAATAGATATGCTTTCTAAAGCATAGAATATTTTTATAAAAATTATACATCTAACTGAATAAAGGTACATGATGCATTTTCCTCCGATGATCATTATTCTTCCCTCTTTAAAATATTCCCCCCCCCCCAATTTCTCCTTTTAAGGAACAGCAAAAGGACTTGCTTATGATGCAGTGAAAGCAAGAATTTTAGCAGTTGAGAAAGTGGAGTCTGTTCACAACCTTCATCTTTGGTCTCTGACAATGAATCAAACTATTCTATCTGCTCATGTTGCCACAGGTCAGTAAATTTCTGTAAACAGGGAGTAAGTATTCAGCTGCTGCCTAGTAAAGGTCAGTCTCTCCTGATTGGGATACAACTGACTATATATTTGTTGCTTGTTAAAACAAATGTCATCATTTTGTTGGAAAAATAACAACAACAACAACAAAGCTCTCAAATCCTCCTCCCAGAAATCTTATCAAAACAACAGGGACCTCTACTTAGCCCAAAACTTCAAAACTGCGGAGGTTGTGAAGCAAGTAAGTAAACTACAAGATATTTTAAATAAATTGGAAGAACTAGACCCAGGCTGTATTTTTCTCACAATATCAAATAGATTTTGGAGTGGATTTGTCAACCTTGAAAACTGTTGAGCACTATAAGAATAACTAACAGTGCAAATCTGCATTCCTGATGCATTTTTTGCAAATAGTTTCTGTCAATAATCACTTACTGTTCTTTAAAGAATTCTATTATATCAATTTGATTATTTTCTGCTTGCTATCTATAGCAGACGCAGCGGACAGCCAGAAGATTTTGAGAGATATTTCCCAAGCTCTGTTTGAACACTACAGCTTCCACTCCATCACCATTCAGATTGAATCGGGAGAGGATCAGAAACGAGACTGTGTCTTCTGTCAAGACCCCAGGGATTAAAGGGAGCAGTATGCTATGCAAAATAATGATCACCCTTCTTACAGGTCAATGGAGACTATACGTGCTGGTTGTATGTAATTGATTAACAACAAATGATAATTAACTGAACTAAAAAGGCCTGCCACAGAGCAGTGCATGAACCTTTGTTGGTACCATCTAAGAGGGTACATGCATTAGGTCCATTACCTGTCCATCAATGGTTATTTTCAATTACAAGAGAAAGTGTCTAAATTATTCTTGACTTGAGTGGCAAACTGGTACTAAAGCAACATTTAAGAGTGCCTGTCTGTAATCACAGGTAACAAAAAACTAATCAACCTTCAAATTAACAACAGACCAATAATCACAAAAAGTAATGAAATGTAAGTTTGGTGTTAGCAAAGCTCAACACTTCCTCAGGATAGAGGAGAAAGTTTAAATCAGCATGAGGAATGAAGAGATCTGGGAAAGAAAGAGATGGTGATGTGCTTTCCCTGCCTTCAGGCTCCTCCTCCTCCTGCATATTAAGAGAAGTATCAGATGTGCACCATGTTCTGCAGCATGGATCACAAGAGGACTCACTCCATTCACATTTGGCATGTAGTCCTTTGGTTTTTAGCTAGCTCTATGTATTTTCCAGCTAGCCTTCAGCCTAACTCTTTTCTGCCAGACATGGGCAGTATTCTCTACTATCAAGACAATCCATAATTGTATCACATTGCATCATGACAAGTTGTGATGGAACATTTGTAGTGGATTTTTGGGTGTCCGTGTCACGAGATACCACTGGGACAATAAAACAGACCAGGAGCTCCAAGAAAAGGAAAAAATAATTAGGACAAGGAAAGACTGGGGGCCATTGTGAACATCACTTCTAGTGTCCTTCATTGTATGTCCTGTGGGATGTTACCCAACAGTGACACATCCCTGAAGTTATATCAGATAATTAAAACACCCTTTGGCATATCACATTGTACATTCACTGTGCAGCGAAGGGACCTGCCTTTCCTTCAGGCAACTAATTCCCAGATTTCCTAACAGGATGCATTAAATCTTCCTCTTCTGCAAACCTAGCAATGGTTACTGCAGAACTGGAAACAAAGAGTCAGGTCTTGCTGCAGTGCCTCTATTTTTGTCAATGATTTTGTAATCAACTGAATTAAACTCTCACCTGTTAGCAAAAATTATGGTTGCACTTCAAAATGGTTGTTCAAGTGCTTTTTCACAAAACAACTTCAATTCTGCCCTTAGCCATAATAGTGCATCTTCATTTTCCATGCAGAACTAGACGTTCTCCACACTCGCACTCCACAGTCCCACTCCCACCCCACTAGACATACGCCACTCCCACTCCACAATCCTCACTCTCACAGCTGTAGGGCTCATTCTATTAACAAGTATGTTAATAAAGTGTGCAATACTGAATGGTATTGAGTTTCAAGGCTGACAGCTGGGAAGAGCATTGTGTTATTAAGGTATAAAGAGGCCTTGCTTTTTAGGGAATTCAGTTTTGTTTGCAAGAGGTTCACATTAGTTTTCTACTTTATCATCCTAAGGAGATTAGAATTTATTATTAGGGGTTTTTGACTATGGATAATACATAACTATGGGATGATGGATTGATGTATTAAGCTGGCATTTGTTACCTGGTAGGGGGAACAAGAAATCATTCTGCTTTGTGGAGGCATCCCAGAAGATCTTAGTCAGGTAAAACCTCCCACTGAAATCAGATAAGGTACTAAAACACAACACCCACTAAGAATTTCATGAGTATCTCATTATTTACTGGCTTGAAAGAACTGAGAACATAGCAGTGCTATTCAGTACAGTGATAAAGACAATCCTTGCCCTTTACAGCTGAAACTCCAGAAGATAAGACACAGATAAATCAAAGCACAGTAAGAAACCCTAAATGAAGAAATTAACTTGTGTTTCGGCCAGTTTCTCTGCTGGTATAATTTCACATAGTTGCCTCCTACTAAAGGCAATACATCTGTGCTTGTAAAGTAACCTGAGCATCCTTTTCATTAGTTGAGGAGGACAAGTTAATAGTGTGGCCTTCCTATGCAATAAAGTCTTTCAAGGTGTTTTGCGTAAGATGAGGAGGCAGACCTGGATAAGGAATTTTGGGGAACAGTTTTACGGTCAAGGACAATGTAAAAAATAATGAGTAGATGACTGAAGCATCTATATAGGACACAGATTCAATTCTGAGATTTAGGCTGAGGTGGAGATAAAGACTGAAGTTTAAGAGCAAGTTCTGATCTTGGAAAAAATTTAAACAGACAAGTGACACGGTCCATCAAGAAAGCTACACGGAATAGCAGATTGTGGAAAAGTTGGATGGAAGCAACATAAGATGGCCTGGAAAAAAGAAGATTTGGCAGCCGTGACCAATAAGGCTATTGTCCAAATGAATTAAAAGGATGGGGAAGGCTTTCATTTACATTTTGGAAAAAGGAACAGTGAAATATAGAGGCATGAGGAAAGAAGGACTTAATCCAAAATAATGACCCTTAATGAAAGGGAGTAGGGGAAAGTTGTAAAAAAGAAGGTTTAAGAAGGAGGTGAGGTAGCAACTGCCATCCAATGATCCATCAGACCCTCCAAATGGTAGCTTGGGTATGTGAGTAGAAAAGGTCAGGTCAGGAATGGTGAGGAAGAGGAGAAGTTTGGGTTTGTTAGCAGCAGTAGGCCTTGTATTTCAGGCAAAAGAATTTAACCACATATCTTTAGCAAAAGCTAGATATAGTGCAATTGTCTCTACTTTCAGTTGTGGAATTCACTCTAGCATACCACTGTAGCAAAAGTAACGCAATGGCTTATGAAAACCTAAGGGAATTTTACCTAAAGATGATAGATTGAAGATGAATTTAGAGCAAATATTTACCTGTAGTTATGAATATTGCCATAAGGAGTTGAATTTTTAATGCTCCCACTATGTATATGAATGTAAATGCATATTTGTTCTTCATCCCCTTCTAGTCTGATCCTCAGGGATATTATCTTGGTAGAAGGTTGTTTTCAGAATACTGTCTGACTGGCTGGTGAGGATTTCTGCAGAAATGCTACTGCAATATACAGTGGCCAAGTCTGAGAAATTCAGAGACAATTTCTAGACTTCTCTGGTTTTTTATTAACTTTACATCCTTTTGACTGTCTGCAGAATAAGTATAAGAAAATTGACAAAAAAAATGCTGTCTCTAAATCATTCTTGGAACTACTGTGAAACAGAGAAGTATTTGTCACGTAAAAGTGGTCTGTTTTCCACATCAAACTGTTTTTTGGTGGAGTTCAGTGCACATGGGCAAGTACATGGCTGTACTGGCTAGTACTGAAATTTTATGTACATAAGTATATTCATCTTCCTCTAAATTTTAATGTAGTCATTTTGCAGCTTGTAAATTATATAGTTCTCTATTCCCCAAAAAGCACTCTGTCTTTTTCATCTTCCACAACCCAAATCTAACACATTGAACAGCACTTGAGGATAAGGAGTTTGTAGAAGCTCAAGGCTTTTTGGAGTAGAAACCATGAAATGGGCAAATGCAAAGCTAAACTTTCCTCATTCAGCACTGACAAAGTGTTAATATTATGCAGAGATGACCATCACACAATGACAGAAATATTTATCATTATTCAAACTGGAAATAGTTAAGGAACAAATCTGTCATTAGCATCAATGGAATAGTCCCTTACTGTAACTATAGTCATAGGCATCTTCCTGTGTTCTTCTGTTTCAAGTGTAAAGTGATTCTAAGAACTGGATATGCAATCAAGAATTATATTGCCCACTTAGTGTGAGACTTCACAACAGTAATTTGTCATCTCCAGATGGAAGGATAAACACGATGCCCCAGACCTGTCCATGCAAATGGTGGACTAAGCAACAAGGACTGTGTAGGTCTGCAATATCCTTCTTACCAAGCAGTTATATGGAACAATTTTGGCTCTGAGCATTTTCTCTTCTGTTGTGAAAGCTAGCATGCTCCAACACACCTTCCTCAGTGCCTTCCTCTCAGCCATAGCAGATGTCCTCTCCTTCCTTTTCCATCCCCTTCGACTATTGTCCCATTCTAGTCTCTGCTCTTCTATTTTTTCCCATTTGCCTTTTTTCAGCAATGCCTCAACTGGCCACCTATTCAAATTTCAATGCCAGCATGATATTTATCACATATCTTTTCTGCTTACAGCCCTTCCCATTCTTCTTCAACCCGTGTGGTTAGATAAAAGCTCCTCAGAAAGAAACTGCCTTTTGCTCCATGTTTGTTGAAAACATGGTATAATGAACCATCTTTTTTTCATTTGACTCTATTATAAGCACAATAATAACAGGGACTTAATAAAAACAAAGAACAACAGCCATTCCAGACATCACATATTGGCCCATGTCAAGCACCGCTATATATTTACTTTGTATTAAAAGTTGTTTAGAACTTTCACAGCCAAAAAATTATCTGAGCTGGCTCCAGCTTAAGGTACTCTTTCATGTTCTCAAGCCTACTGTTAATCTCTTTCAGCTAAGAAAAAGAAAATCCTTTCCCACCTGAGTACACACAGTTTAAGCAAGAAAGGAATTAGAAACATCCAGTTGCTTAGCTGCCTCCTTGACTTCTCTCTGCTTGGACTTTGTGTCAGACAGACAGTGCCTAGCAAGAACGCGCTGCAGCAGAGGAAGCTTTGGAGAGCCGCCCAGCGAGAACAGTGGCTGGAATGGAAGCACAACAGAGTGGGTTTTTACATGGTTACTAGTGCACATTCAGAATTTTCCATCCCAGGTGTTATGTTGATGAGAAACATGTCTGCTTTTCACTAAAATCTTGGGATTTCACTTTTGATTTAAAAACAAAAAAAGGGGGGGTGTGTGAAAAGAAGCAAACGAACAGAAGTTAGAAGGGTTGCATTGTGGAGCATTCCTGGTGGCATCAGAGGCATTTTACCCCATGGCTTGCACTCTTCTCTGACAGCAGGGCTCTGTAGCTTTGTCTCCCAAACTGCACTGCTGCATGCTTTGCCATGAC